TAGTTGGTAGGTCTGTTACCAGGGGATCTAGTAGCTGTGGATTCTGTGTAATCTCTGAGTTGACTGGACTGTCTGTAGAACCTTAGTCCATAGAGCTGGCACTGGAATGAGAGTCCATTTCAAGATCTGTAGATGATGGGCTTGTTACCAGGTGTGTGGGTGGGTGTGTCTTCTGTGTCTCTGGAAAGTTTCCCTGTGGATCACTAAGTGAGACCCTGGGTATGTAGTGCTGCTCAAGTCCATGGCTGAGACGAGTTAGAACTGAGTTTTGGGGCTGCTTTAGAGCCTGTAGCTGAGACTGAGCTCTTCAGACCTGTCTTTGGGGTCACAGATGGGTATGTTTTCTGGTGGGTCCCTGGGCAGGCAGGCTTGCTCTCAGACCACAATTGATAGAGGCTGGTGCTGAATTACAGGGCCATTTCAAGATCCACAGCAGGACCAAGGTCAGTGGGTTAGATTATAGGAGCACTGATGAGCTTGTCTATCTCCAGGTCTCATGTGGGCAGCACTGCTCTCAAGCCACAGATGAGAGGGGCTGGGACTGCTTTTCAGGGCCATTTCAGGATCTTCTGTGGGACCCAGGTCAGCTGGGCTGCCTGTGGATCTCAGATGAGAGTGCCTCCCTCTGGATTCCTGGGCAGGTAGAACTTCTATCTGGCCACAGCTGAGAAGGGCTAGGGCCCAGATTCAGGTTTGTTTTAGGGATGCTGTAAAATTGAGATTGGCAAGCCTGTCCTGAGGACACAGAAGGGTGTTTCTCCCAGCAGGTCTCTGACAAGGCAGAAGTGCCTAGTCTGCAGCTGAGAGGGGCTGGAGTTGAGATTTAGAGCTATTTAGGGATCTGTTGTGGGACCAAGATTGGCAAGCCTGCTCTGCACACTCAGATGGACGTGTCTCCCTGTGGGTCCTTGTGGAAGCAGGACTCATCTCATGCTATAGCTGACAGGGGCAGGGGATGAGTTAGAGGATATTTTTAGGATGTATAGCTGAGACAGAGGTTGGTGGGCCTGTCTTCTGATGTACTAGTGTGCATGACTTCTCTTTGACAAATGGTTTTGGCAGCAGGACCAACACAAAATGGGGTTGTAGCCAAGCTTGCAAGGATATGGGGCAGTTTCTAGGCCTGGAGATGGGACCATGATCAGTAAGTACCAACTGGGTGTGGGTCTATCCTGTAAAAATGATACTCCTAGATCTTGGGCTCTACCAGGGCTTTATAAACTCCTACCTGAATCCCAAGGCTCCTATAAAGGTACTTTTGTCTGTTGATGACTCTTACAAAATTATTGTTGCTTTGGGACATATGAGCAGGGGATCTCCTATTCCACCATCTTGCTAATGTCATTTCTGTTTTATGACTCTTTTAAATACGTAGATCCATGGATCATTTAGAAGTATGTCATTTAATTTCTGAGTGTTGAGAGATTTTTCTTTTCACTTTGTGTTATTAATTTCTGATTTGATTCCATTATGATCAGAGAACATATTCTGTATAATTTCAATTCTTATAAATTTTTAAAGGTTTATTATATGACCTAAGACATGGTCTATGTTCCATTGGTGTATGAGAAAAATGTGTTTTCTGCTCTTATTGAGTGCAGTGTTCTATAAATGTCAATTAAATTCTGTGGTTTGGTAGTGTTGTTCAGTTCCTCTATTCATCATCATTAATTTTCTGCCTAGTAGTTCTATCAATTGCTGAGAATTGGGCATTGAATTTCCCAACTGTAATTTTGGATTTGCCTCTTTCTTCTTTCTACTCCATTAGTTTTTGCCTCATGTATTTGAAAGCTTAGTGGTTTAGTGTATTTAGAGTTGCTGTATCTTTTTAAGGACCTCTTTATTATTATATAATATCACTTTTTATCTCTAGTAACATTCTTTGCTTTAAAGTCCACTTTGAAATTAATTCGGTCACTCCTGATTTTTTTATTAATGTTTGCATAATATAGCTTTTTGTATCCTTTTACTTTCAGCCTACCTGTGTCACTATGTTTGAAGTGAATTTCTTGTAGATAGCATATTGTTGGGTTGTGTCCTAGAGAAACGCATGCAGTCATTTACTAGGTAACATGTAAGGGATATTTATAGTAGTAGTATTCATAATAGTTTCAGATTGTAAACCATTCCAGAATAGAATGCATAACATTGTGGCAAATATTTTAAAAGTGCTGCCAATCTGGTGGGTGTGTGATAGTATTTCATGTGGTTTTAATTTGTATTTTTTCTGGTTAATATGGGGCTGAGCACTTTTTAGAAATTTAATGACAATTTGAAATTTCTGTCAACATATTGAAGATATTGTTCTATTGTCTCCTGCCTTCCACTGTTCCTGTTGAGAAGTCACTGTGCATTCTCACTGTCACTCATTTGAAAGTAATCATTATTTTCCCTTATGGCTGATTTTTAAGATCTTTTGTTTGTGATTTTGTGGTTTTATTATGATTTTTCTACATGTGGGTTTCTTTTTATCTTGTCTTTAGTTTCACAATTGGTAGCTCACAAATAAGGATGTCCCATAAAATTTTTGGGACTTGTCAAGTGTTGGTGACAGCTTTTCACCTTTTACATTTTTTTTTGCTAATACTATCTTTTTGGAAACAAAGCTAAGTACTCAAACTTTCCAGCCTTCATTTCAAGAAGTATGGTTGATTCATCAACAGCATGTATTTTGGAGTCATGAGTTATGCTTGTATTAGGTGCAAATCAGTCTTATGTAGATAGGCAAATCTATTTAAGTAGAAAGAGTGGATATAGAAAAATGGAAGTTAGCCCGGTTGTTCTTGGAAAGAATAGGACCTCTGTTGGGAATAAGAAAGAGTGAATGCCGGGCGCGGTGGCTCATGCCTGTAATCCCAGCACTTTGGGAGGCCGAGGCGGGCGGATCACAAGGTCAGGAGATCGAGACCACGGTGAAACCCCATCTCTACTAAAAATACAAAAAATTAGCCGGGCGCGGTTGTGGGCGCCTGTAGTCCCAGCTACTCGGGAGGCTGAGGCAGGAGAATGGCGTGAACCCAGGAGGCGGAACTTGCAGTGAGCTGAGATCGCGCCACTGCACTCCAGCCTGGGCGACAGAGCCAGACTCCGTCTCAAAAAAAAAAAAAAAAAAAAAGAAAGAGTGAATATTACTGGCGGCACAAGAGAAAGAGAGTCAACACTGTGTTTGTAAAATGGTGAGTTAAGCAAGTGTCTTGAGAGAGCTGATAATGTGATTTTATTCCTTTAATTCCTGGGGGATAGAGCCTCTGAGTGACCTTACCAGTCAGAATGAGAGAGTAATGAAGCATAGTGACGGAAACTGTAGCAGAAGGGAGGGGGCATCTAGTAACCAGGACTTAATAAATATGGGGACAGAGAAGGGAGGTGCTGGGAGAGGAGCTGGAGGTGGGTAACTAGCAGATAGGAAAAGACTGTACACATACTGCAGGCATGCTGTAGGCTTTCTGTAGGGATGCTGTAGGTATCTGTAGGCATAATGTAGATATACTGCAGGCATACTGTAGGCATCTTTCAGCATACTGTAGGCATACTGTAGGTGTGCTATACACTGTAGAATGCAGCAGGCATACTGTAGGCATAGATACTTGAGGGATTTGTAGTCAGGTTACAAGCATGCTTGTTTCATGTTACAAGCAGGCCACTGCACTGAAAGCCATACTCCTGGCTTTCATTGTATCATTGATAGTCATGCACATAAAAGTCTGCCTGATTGTGGTCCCTCTTGGGTGGCAGTGGAATCTTAGTGTGAAAACAGTGAATTCCTATGCTTATTTTTGTTCTGATCAATGGAACTCAAATCACCATGGCAGAGAAGGAGATCTGGATTTGCATCTAAGCCCCGGTACACGTCAGCTGTGTAGCCCTGGAGAAATTCCTTAATCTCTGAGACTCTGCTGTCCTCATATATAATGTAAAGATGATAAAACACCTACCTCATAAGCATTTATGAAAATTAAATTGGTTAATGCATGTAAAGTGAGTTAAAACACACTCAGTAAATTTAAGATATTGTCACTATAGTTCTGCAATTGAAAGTGCTTCTAAACAGACTTAATCTAACTCCATACCATTGAAATATAGCCTTTGTCATCATGGTTGGCACCATTCATCACAAGAAGACCCTGACAAAGGTAACTTTCAGCTGTATCTACCTCTTCAGAAAGCATCATTAGGCTAAGGTCAACTACCTTATGTGGAAGCAGGAAATAATGGTGACCAAGCTTATATCTGAGACTTGTAGAATGCAACCTCACAGGGTTTAGCACCCTGAAATGGTGCAGTTCAGTCTTCATGGGCCATTTTGAATCCCACATTGTCTGTATACCAGTTGATTAAAACCCTTCAATGATGCTCTGCCATGCAAGTTGGAAATCTAGGTGGTTACAGAGGTCACTGCCTCATTCCACCCCAGCTAAAAAAAACCTCTTTAGCCTAGAACTTTGCTGCTTTCCAATCCCAGCGGCACTTTCCAAAACAATTTAGTAAGGATGTCAGGCAGAATTTCGTGTGCAGGAGGATATGAGCAAGATTTAGAACCACCCCAGGCTTGAGTTCTAAATTTGCTTAGTCATCACCATGGTAAGGGCAGAGAGATGCATGTGCTGGAAAATGGAAAAATAGCTTTCCAGGTTCAGATTTTACAACAAACACTTGCTGATCACCCAGGCGAGGTATTGTAAGGGTAAACAAGTCCTAGTGATCAGTGGGTATTATCTCCTTATTTTATGTTCATAGACGCTCAAACCCAAAAAGATCAAGTTATTCACATGGTTAACCAGGGACAGATTTGGGACCAGACATTAGTGCTAGTGCTCTTGACACCTTATTCTGTTATTAATTGAGGTAACTGTGACTATGAAATGAAACACATTATTTTATTAGCAGGTCCTTAGTATTGTCACATTGGGATCAACTTTAGAAATTAATAAGAACCAGATATTTAAAAATAACTTGCAACAGAAGAATTTTTAATGAAATGTCAAAAAAGACCCCCAAAATAAAACAAAAATTAGGGACAGAGCAGGATTTTTCTTCTCTGGAAAAGGATTACATGCATAGAACGTGAGAAAAGGAAGAGAAGGAGAACAAATTCTAGCCCTTTTATCTTTAAGAACAGAAATGAATAATTCCCTTAGGTTATTTAATCAGTAGGGTTTTTGCAAAGGCAGGCTTTCTTTCTGTCTTTCTCTCCCTTTTTTTTTTTTTTTAATAAGTTTTCCTCCTTATGGTGCTTTAAAAGGTACTCGTTGCTCTACTGTAATGTTGCTTATTTTAGAGGACTTTTCTTCAACTGAGTGGACTCTCAGTGAAAGGACACTGCCTATTTGATCCAGTTCCTCAACCACTGTTTTGACAATAGTTTCTTTTGCTGAGTCTGAAATAAAATAAATAAAACGTTAGTGGTCATTTTTTAACAGGTTGAAAAATATTTAGCCATAACAGGTATGCTTTTGGTTTGTTTGTTTGTTTTTTGAGGAGTCTCACTCTGTCACCCAGGCTGGAGTGCAGTGACATGATCTTGGCTCACTGCAGCCTCTCCCTCCCAGGTTCAAGCGATTCTGCTGCCTCAGCCTCCCAAGGGGCTGGGATTACAGGTGCCTGCCACCACGCCTGGCTAATTTTTGTATTTTTAGTAGAGATGCAGTTTCACCCTGTTGACAAGGCTGGTCTCAAACTCCTGACCTCAAGTGATCCACCTGCCTTGGCCTCCCAAAATGCTGGGATTACAGGCATGAGCCACCGCACCTTTTAAAAAATGTTTGCTTTTTTAAAATGTTTTTTGCAAGTCTGCAGTAAATTGATATATAATACTGTGTTTGAAGTCAGTGTTTAGCAAGAACCAGGACTATCTCTCTTATATTTGCCACTGTTTTTAGAGCAATGGGTGTTTGAAAACATAAATTAAACATGAATTAAAACAATCTAAGTATCAGGCAGTAAAGGCTGGCTGCAAGTAATGTCTTCTTTTAAATACCAGCTTGCCCTATTTTTGTGGTTTAAGATAAGTAGCTCTTTTATCAAAGTATTGAAACTATGAAAGATAATACATTCCAGGTAAGAAATCTGTTGTGGGATTAATTCCTCACTCAGTAATTTCATAATTTGACCACATCTGTTGTTCTACAGGAATATAAAATACAAATGTTAAGAACTATAATAATGACCCCTCATGCCTTTATTCACCACAAGTAAACTTAAAAACAAATTTTATTTAGTTAACAAATAAATAACTTAGTTAACACAATTGATGGAGTTTAAGGAGTTACACCAGGTAAAAAAACCATCTATACCTTTGCCTTGATTTCCAGAATTCACAGGCCTGCATCCTTTTGATTTGTAACATGTGGATTTGCTTTTTCTGTGAAGAGAAGAGTAAATTATTGCATTTTTTTCTTTCCTTAGTGAGCTTATAAATACCTCTAAATTGGAAATAAGCATTTTGGAATTCTAGTTTCAACAAGATTCAAATTCCTCATATACTTAAGGGACACTAGTAAGCTTTTCATGACTTCAACATAGTGAAAGAAGAGATGAAATGGATGTTTATGAATAGAAATTTTCTCATGACCAGATATCACCTCTTTCATCTAGCAATGTTTCTCACTCTGACTTTTCAATCAGCTGGCCAATGAATGTGTTTGGAGTGCCTACCGTGAAGAAAGTGTTGCTGGGCTAGGTGCTGCAGAAAATATAGGACCAAAACACAGTTTTTACGGTTGGAAAAAATTATACACATGCTAAAAATTACCTATAACTTGAAAAGTGCTGTAAATTAAGTGAAAAGTGAGTGGTATAATGAGTGCTTTGTTCTGAGGAGGGAGCAATCACTGTTGGGTTCCTGTGAGAATAGGCTGCAGAAGGCTGATGGGCCTTGTAGTGTGCAAGACGTTACCTCCTCACTATGCGGCCATGGGCAAGCATCTAGTAATAGGCAGTGATTACCAGATACCTTTTCTGTGTATGCCACTGTCACAAATACCTTTTCTGTGTATGCTACGTAGGGAGACATTATGGTTAAGACTTGTTACAAGTATGGTTTTGGCGTTATCGCAATTTCACCAACGAGGAAACTGCATTTGAAAAGGTTAAACAATGCGCTTGTAATTCACCCAGTATTTGATTCACAGCTAGGGCTGCAATTCCAGGGCTGTTGCTATTGACTAAGAAACTATGGTGCTTCTCCAATTAATTCTTCCTATGTCTTCATCGCTCACCTTTAATACAAGGTACATGTGGGGTAACTAGTGAAGTGATAAGAAAAGAGTGAGCTATTTATAAGAAATGTGCTTACACACTAAATCACAGAAAGCAAGTTTCCCCTTGAATTGGAGTACTGGAATTGTTAAATATTCTATACTTAAATGACCTTTATATTATTATACATACAAATATTTTTACATACATAGAAATTTGATTTTCAAATTTCTGCATGTTTTAATTTCACTTGGCTGCAATAATATACATTCCTGAGGATAAATATATGTGATCTCTAGAGTAGGAAATTCTAGGATGCAATATTGGCATACCTATACTGTGAGAAAACCTAGTTGATGGGAGACTTTTTTTTTTTTTTCTGCAAGTTAATATTTACCTTTCTTCTCCATCTAGTAAGTTGCAATAAATTTCAATTTCTTTTTCTAAAAAGATTTTTACATCAAGAAGCTGTTCATACTCCAGCTTCTGGCCTTCTGTTTCTGTTCGAATCTGTTGCAGTTGTTCCTCCATCAGCCCGATCTGATCCTGAATTTGCTGGAGTTGATTGCAGTAATTTTCTTCAGTCTCAGCCAAGGAGCATTCATAGGAATGTTTCTGAAAGACAAACAAAGCAAAGCTTCATTGTGTAAAAGAGAAATGGCATGGACATTTTACATTATTTTATTTACTTTTTTGAGATGGTATCTTGCTCTGTCACCCAGGCTGAGTGCAGTGGCACGATCTTGGCTCACTGCAACCTCTCTTCTTAGGTTCAAGTGATTCTCCTGCCTCAGCCTCCTGAGTATGTGGGATTACAGGTGCCCACCACCACACCCAGCTAATTTTTATATTTTTAGTAGAGATGGGGTTTCACCATGTTGGCTAGGCTGGTCTTGAACTCCTGACCTCAAGTGAGCCACCTGCCTTGGCCTCCCAAAGTGCTGGGATTACAGGCATGAGCCACTGTGCTTGACCAGCATGATCATATTTTAAATATTCTCAAGGTAGAAATAATTATTTGTATAAGGTCTGAATATTTTTAATTGAAAATCAACATTTGCAAGATTTTTTAAAAATTCCTCTATTGTAAAAAGGCATTTTTCAAGTTTTGGAATTGGTGAATTTAGGGACAGAATTCTTGATATTTAATATATTTTATACTTTTAGTCATATGTAAATGGTTATACGTACTTGGTGTTATATACATTTTTATATCTGTATTGACTTATACATATTCACACATAGATTCAATTCAATGGTGATTCCTACATACCACAGCCATGAGGGACTGAAGTTCTATTTCCAGGGTTTGCAGGTTGCGTTTCACTTCGGTCAGCTCATTTCTGGCTGCTGTGGCTGCTCCCTCATCATTGGAAATCTGTTGTTGCAGTGTTGCACTCTGAAGTGTAGTTGTCGAAAGGGTTAGTGACCGGCCTGATTGTCTCCTGAGCAAGCCCTTTGTAATTTGCCATAGACCTACCCTCTCGTTGAACCAGGCTTCAGCATCTTTGCAGTTCTGCTCAGCCAAGGCCTCATACTCAGCCCTCATGTTGTTTAACAGGAGAGTTAGGTCCACTCCTGGGGTTGCATTCATCTCCACGTTCACATTCCCCCCAGCTGTACACTGCAAGACTTCCATCTCCTAGAAAAGGGATTGGTATTCATCCTCAGTGGAGGATTTTGATTGATGTTCATGCCCTGCTATGAAATGAACAGTGGACTTGAAGAAGGAAATTAGACACTATATGAAGCCACTCTGCAGGCTTCCTTACCTCCTCGTGATTTTTTTTGAGGTAGGTCAATTCCTCACTGAGGGTCTCACACTGTATCTCCAGGTCGGTTGTACAGAGGGTCAGCTCATCCAACACTCTGCGAAGACCATTGGTGTCAGCCTCAACACTGTGGTGCAGAGCCAGCTCATTTTCATACCTGAAAGATTAGTAAGGCACCTGGGAGTTGTCATCATAGGCAGGTGCAAAGCATAACTTTTAAAGGCATTTCATATGCTGAAAGACATGATGTTCTCTACATGCTTCTGAAGCTTCTTGCAATGGCAAACTGCTAAAATGGTTTGAGATACCTAACAATTCATGAATTGTATTTTGGGGATGTTATTTCTTCAGAGTTGATTTTTGTCATCCAATGCGCTTAACAATTAAATACAATATTGCTAGATTTTAGATTTTAAAAAATGTAATAGCTCTTTTTTGTTGTTGTTTGCTTTTGAGATAGTCTCACTCTGTCACCCAGGCTGAAGTGCAGTGGCCCCATCTCAGCTCACTCAACCTCCGCCTTCCAGGTTCAAGTGGATTCTCATGTCTCAGCCTCCCGAGTAGCTGGGATTACAGGAGTGCGCCACCATGCCTGACTATGTTTTTGTGTGTATACTTTTAGTAGAGACGGGGTCTTCCCATGTTGGCCAGGCTGGTCTTGAACTCCTGACCTCAAGTGATCCGCCTGTCTTGGCCTCCCAAGGTGCTGGGGTTACAGGCATGAGCTACTGTATCCAACCATGATAGCTCTTTTTATAAGGGTGTATTTAATTCAATTTCTTTATTTATCTAGTCTGGCTTTAGAAAAACATTTTGGTTTTCAAAGCAAAATATATATTCCTTAATCCAACTGTAATATTTTAACTTTTATTCATATAATTAATTAGTTTGTTTTCACCTACTTCAGCCTGAAGTCATCTGCGGTCAGTCTGGCATTGTCATTTTGTAGAACAATGCTGGCGTTGCAGGTGGTTGCAGAAATAATCTAAATAGGGAAGATTATGAAAAATGTTGATTACCAAAAGTCAAAGGAGGCTCCAGATTTCAGTGTGATTTTATATCTTCTTAATCTGTCAAACATCTGTTTTAGTATCTTTTTTCTATGTTAAAGAAATCTGGATTTTCTTCAGATAATAAGCATCCAGAGCTTAAGTGCCACATAGGTACTTTTATTACTTTTGATAAAAGTTTGTATGATGAAACTTAAGTGCCACATAGGTACTTTTATTACTTTTGATAAAAATGGTATGAGCTAAATATAAGAAAAACAAAGTGAATATATCTGTTTTGAAATGATTTCTTTTTCATTATTTAATTCTACAAGATTTTATTGCCAGGTACTGCACTTAGCACTGGAAATACCGAGTGAACAAATCCTATATCACATAAATTTGTTAAACACATTTTATATTTTCTCTTCTTTAAATTATCCAGACACAAAGTCTGTAGTAAAAGTATGCAAATCCCTATTTCTTACCTGCCTTTTAAGATCTTCAATGACTGAGAAGTATCTGCTATAGTCATGATTGTGTCCCCGGAAAGAGCCAGGCTCACATTTCTCATACCAGCCCTTGATCTTCTGCTCCAGGTCTGCGTTGGCCTCCTCCAGAGCACGCACATGGTCCAGGTAGGATGCCAGGCGGTCATTGAGATTCTGCATGGTCACCTTTTCATTCCCAGAGAGGAGGCTGTGCTCATTGCCAAGAAAACCAGTACGGGCACCACTTCCCAACCCTCCACCACTACTGCAGAAGCTTCCTCCAGAAGAGATGCCCCCAAGAGTACAAGAAAAGCTGCTTCCTGCTCCCGACCCAACACACACATTCCCAGCCACAAAGCCTGTTCCTCCACCGGACAGCCTACCAGACCCAGTTCGCGAGCAGATCCGCCTGGATCCACCAGAAAGTCGAAAAGACATGGCGGCAGCACAGACGGGCAACCCCTTGCCAAAGAGAGGAGCAAAGCCAGAGTTCACCTTCCACACACGTTAGCTCCCTTGGCCTTTTATAGGATTCACTGGGTCATTTCAGTCTTGACTATGCCAGTCTGTAATAAAATTTACTTGCATCCTAATTGTTGTTTTTCACAATTGGGTGATTTTTAACAGCGTCCAGTCTGTAGGTGGAAAGGTGCCCCAAGGATATTTTTTATATATAAAAATGGTGCCAGGTGAAGTAAAACTAAATCATAGCCTCAAAGGCCAAAATTAAATATGACTAAATATGCATCTTTTTGACCACTGGACTATTAATAGAATCTAGAGTCTCCCCGTCACATATAACAAAGAATTAATAATTCCAATGAGAAATGTCTCCTACTTTTGTCCTGTTAATGCTCATAGAGTATTTCTAGTATTCCCACTTCGTTGAGTGCCTCCTTTCTTCCTTTCTTTGTTTCTTTTATTTTTCTTTTTTCCTTTTTTTAAGAGATGTGGTCTCGCTATGTTTCCCAGGCTGGTCTTGAACTCCTGGCCTCCAGTGATCCTCAGCCTCGGATCCTCAGCCTCACCCAGCTCAGCCTCCTGTAGCCAGCATTACAGGTGTAAGCCACTGCACTGGGTGTCTGGGTGTGTGTTTTCCTTCTTCCTGACACCAGAGAATCTCAGCATCTATTGATCTTTTGGTAGTGGGAGATTTTAAAAGAAATCTACCATTTCTTGAATTGAGAACTGAAGTAACAGAAATCCTGCAGTCTTGCTTATTATTAATTTCAATATAATTCATGAGTATGTCATCGTGGTGGAGAATTATTTTGATTGAGATTTCTTGGTTCAGTCCAGGCAGGAGTAGGATATCAGTTCAACTAAGAGTCTCCAAATTGTTCACTTCCCTACCCCTAAATAGTGTTTACTGTCTTTTAGTTTAAATGTATGTATTTAAGACATTAGGAATTATTTTGAGAAGTGAGCATCATATTGATTAGCAAGGAGTAAAATATATAAGGAGGGAGGTATTTTCATCATTACCTAGAAAACCAGTACTTATGGTACCCTAGAGAGAAGATAAGTTATCACAGGGAAGTACTCTTTATTCTCTTGCCTTGATGCCCTGGAAAGTTATCCAGGCTTGGATCATTTCCCTACTGGGCAAATGAAAATAATAGTATCGAACAGTCTCAAATGAATGTTGAGCAGTTCCAATCATGAATGACTGTAAGACAGTTTGAAAGGCACAAACATTTTTAAATGTTAATTGTTTAAATTATTATAATAAAGTGGACATATCAGAAAGGGTAAAGTCTCTATCACCTATAATGATACAAATTGATTGGTTAACTAATTATGGGTTTAGTTTTGAAACAGTAATTTTTTTCTGAATGATATTTTTCAATGTTGTGGATACTGAATACTTTGGAAAACATCCAACATTATTGTCACTAAAACGTATATAACATTTAGTGGACTGCATGGATTTTCTAAATCAAAAATATTTAAAAATAAATAATAAATACAAAGCTATAACTGGACCATCAGCTTAGGTTTAAAACAGTGCATAATAACCTAGATACAGTTCCTATTTAGAGACTTTTTACTGATTTTGTTGTGACCTGGTCAAATTTTTAATCTTTTGCTCATTTTTCCCAGGAATAAAACAAGAAAAACAGAGAACATTGTCAGTTTAATGGTTTATAAAGCTTGAGTTTCTTAGATGAGTTATTATGAGATTTCAAAGTATTATTAACATAATCTATTTATCTCTAGATACTTTACAAATACAAATTATCTTTTGTGAAATAAGTTAAACACATATTATTAGGACCATTTCGGAGATGAGTTGTCTCTGAAGCTAAGTGGCCACAAAGCATTTCCGTATCAAAGCAGGACTGGAATGCATGATGCTTAACTCCCTCTTGAAACGTTGTCACCTATTTACTCATGTGAGTAGGTCCCTTAAGTTATTTTAATCATAGATTTTCCTCTAAACTAATACTTATTTTTAAAATGTAGGTATGCTCTAGTTCTTTCTGGAAGTGGAGGATAGATTTAACAAATTCTCTGGACCACTTCAGTCTATACATTTTTTCCCTGAGATGGATTATTTTATTCATGGCAAAAAAGTGGTATTTGGATGTATATAATTGATCATTTCTTAATAATCTACTAGGTAGTAGAACATTACATGATGTGCATACGTATTTTAGGTATTCAAAATGAATCGAATTAAGCTTTATGCAGTATTGCTGTCTCCTTATTTCAGGATAAAGTTTTTCATTACATTATCTTATTCTGATGATCATATGCTAATTTTCCCCCAATAGATTTATTGTTTAGTTTCAAGTACGCTGTTGTTTAAAATTCACATTCTATATTTCTGTTAGATAACCGTTTTTCTTGAACTTGAATGAGGTTTGTTTTGTCACTAGATTCCTAGTTTTTGGTTTTGTTTTGTTTTTGTTTTTTTTTTTCTGAGAATCAGATTCTGGTATACTAAGTCCTTCCACAAAATGGCTTCCCTCGTTTGGTTTGGGAAGAAGGAGATACTGATGTCTCTGCTAATGTCAGACCGACTGGAATGAGCATGCACGTAGTTTATCCCTTCTCTTGCTAGAAGGAAAGTGGAGTCATAAGGTTCTCACTAGCATGGTATTATGTCGTGGTGAGCACCAGACTCTGAGCCATTCTGTGTGGTTTACACATTTCAGCACTTCCTGTTATAAGCTGTGTGATCTTAGGCAAATTACTCAACCAGTCTCTGCCTCAGTTTCCTTATCTGTAAAACGAGGACGATAACAGTACCTACCTCATAGGGTTGTCGTGAGGAATAAATGATGCTTAGAACAGAGTCTAGCACCTAGTAAGTGCTGGTTATCAATTGTTATTGACTCTTTCCTGGAAGTCATATTTAAAGGTCTTGAATATCGGCCTGGTTTTAGCAGAAAGAATTTATTCCCTGAGTTATGGTGAGTTGGTGGTCAGGCGTCTCAAATACTGTGAAATCTGAGCTAAGTATTCAGTGGCTGACGCCTGTAATCCCAGCACTTTGGGAGGCCGATGCAGGCGGATCACGAGGTCAGGGGATTGAGACCATCCTGGCTAACACAGTGAAACCCCGTCTCTACTGAAAATACAAAAAAATTAGCTGGGCCTGGTGGTGGACGCCTGTAATCCCAGCTACTCGGGAAGCTGAGGCAGGAGAATGGCGTGAACCGGAAGGCGGAGCTTGCAGTGAGCCAAGATGGCGCCACTGCACTCCAGCCTGGACAACAGAGTGAGACTAACTCAAAAAAAAAATAAATTAATTAAAGACTTTTTAGTATTACGGTTTACTCTTAAGTGTTGTACATTCTACAGGTTTGGAAAATGTATAATGACATGTATCCATTCTTATGGTATTATCCAGAGTATTTTCACAGCCTTAAAAATCCTCTGTGTTCTGCCTGTTCATCCCTCTCCTTCAATTTCTAGCAGCCACTGATCTTTTTACTATCTCCATAGTTTCGCCTTGTACAGAATGTCATATAGTTGGGGTCATACAGTATGCAGCCTTTTCAGAGTGGCTTCTTTCACTTAGTTATATACATTTAAGTTTCCTCTGTGTCTTTTCATGGCTTGATAGCTCATCGCTTTTTAGCACTGAATAACATTCTATTGTCTAGTTGTACCACAGTTTATTTATCCATTCGCCTACTCAAGGACATCTTAGTTGCTTCCAAGTTTTGCCATTATGAATAAAGCTGCTCTAAACATCTGTGTGCAGGTTTTTGTATGAATGTAAGTTTTCAACTCTTATGTGGTAGGATGTTTCCTTTTCCTAATTTTGATATGAGTGTATATGATGCGAGGACTGGTTAATTAAAAAGTTAAGTGAGAGGGTATCTGCCTTACATTCACCTAGGTATTACTACATGATTGTGGGAAACAGAGGAGGAAAGACGGCTCGAAAGTGACTATGTTTCAACTGGACTGAACCAATTCTACAGAGTTCAGTAACAGGATACTGGTTCCAGAGAAAAACGGGCTGTTTTTGTTATGGGATTGGTGAGGGGGAGCCAAATCTCTCACCCACAAATAAACCTCTGGAGGGTTTTCTGGAGGGTTTAACCTCCTCCCACTCCCAGCCTTGAAATAGGTTCATTAATGGTAGGTGATGAAATTATTGCACTAAAACTTACATTTGACTTGAGAGCCACATGGCTCTGCAGTCTTGGATGGCAAAAATGAAGTAGAGAACTTGTGAATTCCTACCCTTATGGTGGAGTGATCAAGATTATGAATTAGATACCCGCTGGAATTCTCCTCTTACCCTTATCCTCATAGCTCTCTTTTTCCCCTTCTACCTTCAAATATCACCACTTACAGCCTTTCCTTTATGTTTAAGGTTGTTTCTGATTCTTCGGTTTCTTATTTCTGTGTCTATGAGCATATTGACCTCAGGGACTGGATCTTATTAACTGTTTTATCCTCGTTATCTGGCATATAGTGTGTGCTCAGTAAGTACTTTTCGTACTGAGACAAGGGAGACAAAATTTTACAGAGAAGTGAAAAAGACTCCAACTAGTTTTCATGTTAAACTTACTTCCAACTTGTGAAGACCATTGAATTAAACAGAAGAAATTAAAGACAAAATTCAGCTCCCATTGGAAGGTGTATCTAAAATGCAAAGATTGGCTAGAACCAGGGAAGATGACTTGCAACAGGAAGAACTTTTATTGAAACACCACCATAGAGAAAAAGCCAAAGAAATGGTACTATTCTAAAAATAACTTGTCTTAATTCATTGGAAGAAAAGCAGAAAAATAAGGGGACCCTTATTTAGGAAACGAGTTTCATTTTGGTATTTTAATTTGGGGGCCATTGTTTCTCAGAGGCGGGAGTTCAGGAAGGCACCCTCTGTTCATTCTTGTTGTTGACTTTGGTGGCTTTCTCTTCCACGGTGTGAACTCTGGATGAGAGAACTTTGCCACGAGGATCTATTTCTTCAACAACTGTTTTGACAATGGTGGTTTTAGATGAATCTAAAATGCCACATATAAACTGTTAGAATTTATCAAATTCATAAATAGGAAATAACTCATCATTTGAAACACATACAAAGGAACACTGAATACCTAACGCAGCTTTTGTTTACCTTTTGTCTGATTTCCTGGGCCTCCATAGCCTTTTGATTTAGAACAGGAGCTGTAAAAGTACAGAGCACTTATATGAATCATTTCATTCTGTTTTACTGAGGAAACTGAAAAATAATGATTTAAGGTGGGAATTCACTGCATTCTGAAATAACACTAAAAGAGTGTTATCTCCATGTGATCTAGATCATTAGATATTTTGTAATTGATTTCAAATAATCTTTAGTAACCTAGAAATGAATTGTTATCTCAATGACAGCAATACTGACCCATCTTCTCCATCTATCAGGAGGCAGTAGGTCTCAATTTCTTTTTCCAGGTGGACCTTGACGTCGAGGAGCTGCTCATACTC